CTGTCTCCATGATCTTGGCCCAGGTCTCGGCGAATTCCTCGCCGATCTGCATCCCCGCGTCGGTGCACAGAATGTGGTCTCGGCAGGCCGATGCAAACCTGGACCCCGCATGCCAATACGTCGTGAAATCATTCAGGCGGTCGCCCGGTAGCCCGTCGAGGATCTCGCCCACGCGCATCTGCAGCTCGATCCAAATGGCACCTCTGAGACGCAAGAACTTCTCAAGGGCCTCGAAGCTGTCCCACACACCATCAAAAATTGCGGCTGCCTTCGTCGACGCGCCACCGATGATCGCCTCGGGCTTCCCCTCGACCTGGTTGACGTTGGAGAGCCCGAAGATGGGCGGCCCGTCCTTGGACGGCTTGTGAGCCAAGGAGACCTGGTAAATGATCGCGTGGGCAATCGAGGCCGTGTAGAAGACATCAACGTTCGCAGCCTTGTCCAAGACGTTTGCCTGGAGGTGGCGAATGATCTTGCGAAGCGCATCCGGGCGGTCGGACTGGGCGGCGAGGTCAGCGAACCAGTCCGTGAATCTCGAGTCGGCGAACAACTTCTTCAAGTAGTTGTTGGCCTGGGTGAATGCCACGCAGGATGACCTGACCTCACTGGCGTCGTCGCAGCACAAGGGAGGGTTCGAGTCCACGAAAGCGGCCAAGACGTCCTTCATCTTAGGTGTACTTTTCAAAACCTTTTCCAGCTGCTCCAACCCCCTCGCGGTCTCGGCCTGGACAGCACGATCGGCCAGCAGTTCCAACTCCCGCTGGCCAGCTGTTCCCTCTGACTCCTCACGGGCTCGGGCCAACTCCGTCTCCTTCTCCTTGTCCTCCTTCGTAGCCTGACCCTTGTCCTGGAATAGCTCCACCGTGTCCCAATCGATGCCGTGTATCTCGCACACGCACTTCGCGAGGCGCTCGCGCAGCACAGTCCACTTGCCTTTGAACTCCTCGTCCTCCCCCGATTCATGCAAGTAGCCCGTCTTCAGGTAGCCGTCAGCGCCGAAGGCAATGCCCAGCGCGCACAGGTCGTTGATCCTCGTATACTCGAGCTTCTCCTCTGGCACGCTCGCCGCTGTGACGGTGAGCGTGTTCCTCACGTCATCGATGTACGTCTTATGGCAGAAAGTGGGCACGACCTTTGACGCCTTGAACTTCGGCTTCGGCTTAGCCTTATCCTTCTTCTGCTTCTTCTTGCGTTTCTTGCCCTTCGTCCCCTCGCCGTCCTCCTCCTCCTCCTCCTCCGACTCCTCATCGTCAGGCTCCTCGGCGAAGGTGACAATGCGCTCCTCCCTGGCCTCCCGGGCGAGCTGGAAGACTTTGCTCTCCTCCATCGTTTGCCAGAGCTTGACCACCTTCTTCGCGTCCTTGGTCTCCACGAAGACGTGGGGGAGGCCGTCGTCCGAAGGGACGCACAGTTTCAGGCACCCGATGAAGACTCCGAGGTTCTGGCAGTTCTTTTTCTCGAGCTCCTCAATGACTCTTTGAATGCAGTGAATCACCTGCACATTGGATATCTTGGCGTTGGTGAACTGGGCGTGCAACATGCAATACTTCTTGAAGGTATTCCAGAGACGCAGGTCCACCATCTTGTTGTAGACGATCCGAGCACGGACGAAATCGTTGTATCTCGCCCATACGTCTGGGAAGTGAAGCTGCACGAACTCCCACTCTTCGTCGTCCTTGCCAGCCTGCGACCGATGTCTCTGCTCAGCCTCAGCAGCGACAGCAGCAGCTTCTCCACCCTGCACCCCCTGCGTCTTCTGCGCGGCAAGTCTCGCACGCCTCTTGTCCATGCAGTCCTTCTGCCACGCCTTCTGCGCCTCGCCGGCCCTCGTCATGCTCTCGATGAAAGACGTTTTGGCGCCGTACCCAACCATGGAATTCAATTCGTCTCGGTAATATTCCAGGATGCACTTCTTGCAGTTCGGCAACAGTAGAGTCACCCCTTGCACCCCGGCTCGTTCTGTCGCCAGCACCTGCTCGTTCTCTGGGTTGTGCTTCTTAGCGTCGTAGAACGCCTCGAATAACGTCGCTGCCCCCAGTTGCTGAAGCCTCCAGCGCGTGCGGTCCGTGCTCGTCGCCACCGCGAACACGCCTCCCGCCCGAGCTCCCTTGACGATTCCCCTGTCCAAGATGATCTCCTCGTACTCGCGCCTCACCGACATCATGGTGGTGCGATTGATGCGGTGCCGCACGAAGACCTCCTGCCCCTCGGAGTTGAAGTAGTCGATCGGCTGAGTCCCAAACTCCTCGAGAATGTGGTCCTGGCAGGAGGGGGGAGGCGGAGGGTTGGCGGGGAGGAGGGACGGAGGGTTGAAAGGCACGAAACAAACACGTGTGTTTCGATGGTTCGGTTTTCGTGGCGAACGAGCAACACGCACCCATACCCATAGGGGGTCGTTGAGAGGAGGACGGGCCATGGGCGTGGGCGCGGGTTGTCGGACCCTGGGGGGCGCCCCCGTTCGAGCGGGGGCCCCCGTCCGACAACATGCACCCATAGCCCTCTCCGGCCCCTCTATGGGCATGGGCGTGTGTTGTTGGTTCGTAATTTCGAGGGCGGCGGCGGCAGCGGCGGCAGAGGCGGCGGCAGCGGCAGCGTTCCTTGTCGACTGCCTCTCGGAGGACTCGGCCGCGCAAGCCCGGGTACATGCTCTGGACAGTCAGGCAGTCATCCTCAGAGGAGGAGGCGGGGGTGGAGGAGGCGGTTTCCTGGACATGGGAATCATGATTCCAATATTGGGCCCTTTGTGGGCCCTCTCGGGGCCCTCTTGTCTCGGGGCCCTCTCGGGGCCCTCTTGGGGCCTCCTGGGGCCCTCCTGGACCTCTTGGGCCCCCCCCGAGAGGAAGGAGACATGGGAATCATGATTCCCATATGTTTCGCTTTTTCCGCGGGCCATCTCGGGCCCTCTCGGGGGCCTCCTGGGACTTCTTGGGGCCCCCCCGAGAGGAAAGAAACTATGGGGACCATTAGTCCCATCTAGCTCGCTTTTTTCCGCGGGCCATCTTGGGCCCCTCCCCCCCCCCGGTTTGTGGCACCCCCTGGGGTTGGTGGAGCCCCCCTGGGGGCTGTGGACACCCCCTGGGTTTGCGGGTTTGTGGACCCCCCCCTCTGGGTTTGTGGAGCCCCCCTGCAGCCGTGGATCATCACCCCCAAATACACATGGCTGACAGGCCTTCGACCAACGCTGCGCCCTCTTGGGGCCGTTTTGGAGCCCACCCAGACCTCAGACCTCGGACCCCCAGCGGAGGAGTGTCCTTATCCGCATCGCCGTACTCGGTTTGGCAGGAAGGCGTCTTGGCCTTCAGCTTGCGCCTCTTGTCACCGTCGCTGTCATTGTCCCCCGTGATCAGAGTAACAGGCATCGGGCAGAGTGGCTGACGGTGGCAGTTAATTGTAGATAGTCGATGAATCGGAATCGTTCTCCCGAGGCTGTCGAGATGGCGCCGTCGGCGCCGCGCTTGAGCCGCGTTAGCTCGGCTGGGCCCCCCAGAGACCTCGCAGCAGAGCGAATGGGTCGGGAGTCATCCCGCGCGAGCCTGCCAGGGGGGGGCGAGGAAGACGTTGCGGGAGCAGGACTGGGGAGCCGGGACAACGAAAAGGGGGGGGGAGGGATAGGGTATCGAGGAGGGATGGTGGATCGGACATTATCGTTGAGACTTCCTCGCAGGCGCATTCCGAAACGCGGGCATAATGGCATACATGATGGCATACATGGTTTCGCATCAAGAGGGGGGAATCGGACACTCCCCCCCGCTCATCTGGCCTGAACATGATATTGGGCTTGGGGGAAGAGGAGGGGGAGGTGGCGGGGGAAGAGGAAACGCGCCCCTGCCCACTGAACGTTTTCATTGCTGTTTGAATTGGCTCGCTACCACCCCGCATAGATCCAACCCCCTGCTATGAATGGCGAGCCGCGCCCACTATCGGGCGAGTCGAGTCACCCCCATGCAACTCACTTGCAAGAACAAACTCACAGAGCGCGGCTCGACGAAGACCCGCCGTTGCCGTCGCTGTGATGAAAGGCATCATAGGCCTTTCTCCTCTTACCCCTCGCACGGTACATGGCGATGGAAAAATCCGTGATGACGACGGGTGGCCCCGGGGAGTCTGGGATGTGAGCAGCCCGCTTGGCGCCTGCGCCCGCGAGGACAGGCTGGCGCAGCAACCCAGCAAAAAGCACAGACCCAACGGCGCTCACGTGCATCGTGTTCCCCACTTGGTGGATCATCGAAGCCCGCGACCGTTTCGGGTTCACCTCGCTGGCGTCCAGCGCCAGGCTGAAGGGGCACGTGTTCCCGTAGATTCCCACCGCCGTGTCCGAGATTGCGAAGCCCATGGCGGTGAAGGACTCCAAGCTCGTAAGCCACCTGCCTAACTGCGTGTTCCATGCCAACCCAGCACCTCGAACGAGCGTGTGAAGCGGGCCGTCCAGCGGAGACTTTTGAACTTTCACTTTCTCTGCGCCGAGGTCAATCACAAAGTGCGGCACGCGAGCGTTCGCCATTGCCTTCTGAAGTCTGCTGCGCTCCGAAAGAATCAACGCCTCGATGTGACTCCCCTCGGGGTCATGCGGGAAAGCGGCCTTCGACTCGGCGAGCATGCGATCGGCAGCTGCATCCCGAGAAGCCGCCCACACTCTCTCTGCCTCGATCTCTTCTGGTGTGGCCCGCCAGAACTCCATGGAAGAATATGCCGCTCTGCGGTGGAAATGCTTCTCGACGATGCACGAGATGCCAGTACGCTCGGACGCCCCGACATCGCCATCCTGGAAGAAGTCTGGCGACCTGTACAAGTAAGTGCACCTGCAAACGCAGACGGCGTACCGACGCCGACGAGCATTCGGAAAGCCGCATTGCGTCGGGCAGATGTACACGTATTCGACCTCGTAGGCATCCTGCAACAATCTCCGCAATGTATCATCGTCTTGCGCATCAGATCCTTCATGAACCACCATGGGCTCCTGCAGGAGTAGCCGCTGGCGCGCCCAGACGAGTAAAACCTGCATGGCCTTGCCTGCGAGCGAGTCGCGATTCCCCATCGGCGAGTCGTGGATGCACGGCGTCCCGCCCACGTGGATTTGGGACCTCGAGAACGTGCATAGTTTGCAGCACCCGCGAGAAGAGTGCATAACGCACGGCGCCTTGGTCAGAAGCTCGCTTCTCATGGCAACAGAAGCCTTTCCCCAGAAACCTGTGGCCTTACACATTGAGGCTCGCACATGCGGAGGAACGATATGAAGGATGTTTGAAAAGACGTGGCCTGGGCGACCTTCGCGGTGGCCCATGAGCTCCCTCTGGCACTGATGACTGCAGTCCATCTCCCACGCGGACCTCGTACTGACGTCAGCCCAGGAGCCGCCCATCAAACCACGGGCAAACTGATTGAAGGCGAACAGACTTGAACGCATAGCGTGCCCTGGTGCGTTGATGCCTGAGCACGCCCCACTCATGACAACAACGCGGCCCTGGAGCTGCCTGCATGCGTCGAGCATCCGATGCTCGCCCACGTCATCGCAAACAGATCTGCAAGCCACGTGGAAAAGACCCCACGCCTCCTCGAGGGAGTGCGCGGCGGCAGGCATGCTGCGGGCGAGTGGTTCGGACGAAGCGCTGAGGCGCTGCACGGTTGGAGCCAAAACAGCCACAGAGAATGACCCGGGCGGAACATTACTAGCATTTGCATTGTGCACCTGGCTCTACTGGGGCCTCTTCTGAACCCCTCTCAAAGCCATGCGGGAGGCTATCCGAACTTATCCGAAACCATTCAGGGTCTCTACGGGCCACGATGGGGCAACATTGGGGCTCCCGTGGAACGCGTAGCGGCGCGATGTCGCCCCCAATATTGCACCCGCGCAGAGCCCCGCAGCCCCGCGCGAGGGCCCCCGAAGGGCGCATCCAGCTCGATGGAGGTGTCAATCGGAAGATATATCAGCAGCGTTTGAAGCGTGGATTGCGAATTCCCTTGCGATGTCATTCCATGTAGCCAAACATGCTCATCTTGACCACGCCGCTAGGGATTGGGGCCATCGTGGTGACCAGGTCACCACGGAGGCCACTCTGGGGAGCCCCCGTGGTGACCCGGTCACCACGGGGGCTTCCCAGAGAGGCCCCCGTGGTGACATGGTCACCACGGGAGCTTCCCACAGGGGTCCCCGTGGTGACATGGTCACCACGGGGGCTCCCCAGAGAGCCCCCCGTGGTGACCTGGTCACCACGGGGGCTCCCCAGAGATGCCCCCGTGGTGACCTGGTCACCACGGGAGAGGGGGCTCCCGTGGTGACCCGGTCACCACGGGGGGCCCCAGGGGGGCCCCCGTGGTGACATGGTCACCACGGGGCTCTTCAAATGACCCCCCGTGGTGACCTGGTCACCACGGGGGGCTCCCCATAGGGGCTCCCGTGGTGACCTGGTCACCACGGGCCCCCCCATAAGGGCTCCCGTGGTGACCTGGTCACCACGGGGGGGGGCCTTGGGAGCCCCGCGGTGACCTGGTCACCACGGGGGCTCCCCAACGTCCCCGTGGTGACCTGGTCACCACCGCATGCGTTTTTCCCGCCCGACCGTGGAACGCTACCTAGATCATATTCGACCGAGTTGGTGATCGATCTGAACAACTCCAGCTCCCGAGGATGACTCGAGCGAGAGCCTCACTTTCAACGCTAAGACGTCTTCAAACAACTGTTTGAACATTCCCGTGTTTCGAGGATATGGTGTCTCAGGCGAAACAGCCACCTCGTCAGCGACCAAAAAATGAGAAAACGGACGCTTAAGGACACGTGAGAACTATACGTGTGTAGATATCCATTGGCGCGGCATAACTCTTTGTAGGGAGCTCTAGAGGATAAAGTAAGCTGGCCCCCTTCCCCCTCAGAGCCCTAGAACAGCCATTTCTGAATATTCGGCCGATTCCGCGACCGATCTGAACATGTCCATTTTCAGGATGTCTCGAGCTTGCGTGCGCGCGCAAGGCTTTGCACACAACGTGGAACGAGTGCATATGGAGCTCTGGTTGGTTTGATCAAGTGTTGCGCGTGGCCTGCATGCGTGTGTGCGCGTGTGTGCTTGTGCGTGCATGTGCAGATGCGTGTGCGGCTGTGTGCGCATGCGCGCCATCTTGGGGCCCTCTTGGAACATTCTCGGAGCCTCTGGTGCCATCGTGGAGCTCGATGAGGGCCCAAGAGGGCCCCAAGGAGGACCTTCAGAGGGCCCAAGAAGGCACCGAGAGGGCCCCAAACAAGTGGCACGGCCGTGCCACACTTGCGGAGCCCTCTTGGGCCCCTCTTGGGCCCCTCTTGGAGCCCTCTTGGAGCTCTCTCAGGGCCACCGTGGAGGTCCAGGAGGGCCCCGAGAGGGCCCCAAGAGCGCGCCGACATTTTTTTCCTGAATGGCAGGGCGGCTGGCGACAGCCACCCCATCAGTAGAGCACCTCGGGCCACCTCGGGGATCTCGCGGCCGACCTGCACGCAGTCCTCCCCCTCCCTTAGACGCGACGGCGAGGTGACAGTTAAGGGGCGATCTCCTGTGGCCGCGGTCGTCCATCTCGCTGCGTGGCCGTCTCGGGAACCTCTCGGGCCCCTCCCAGGTCCCCAAGAAGAGCCCAAATGGGCCCCAAGAGAGCCACCGTGAAGGTCCAAGAGGGCCCCAAGTGGGCCCCAGGAGGGCCCCGAACATGTGGCACTGGCACGACGACGACGGCGAATCTCGCAATATCTTCTCTTCTCCACTGCATGCGCTGGCCGCTGGCCGCGCAAACCCCGCGCGGGTCCAGGCGATGCGATGGCACTGGCACCGACGAGTCGCTGCCCGGAGCTGCGCGCGGCCCCTAGCGCGCAGACAAGGCGGGCAGACGAGAAAGAGCGGGAGGAGGAGTGAGGAGGAGTAGGAGAAGCAGGAGGAGGAGGAGGAGGAGGAGGACTGGAAACTCTATTGCAAGTAGATCCCGCCCACGCTGATATGTAGTATAACACACCACGCGCACGCGTCCAGCACCCCGCCTCGCTCTCTCTTGGGAGGGGGGGAGGAGAAGAGGAGGATGAGTGGAGAACGGTTCGGTGGATGGGTGGAGGGAGACTGGGCACAGGGCTCGCCAGGAAGCGGATCGGCGGCGCAACGCCGAGCCGAGCACCGATCGCGCACGCTCAACCACTACATATTGGCAGCATCGATCAACGCAATGCACCATGGGCACAGGTCCCCCATCTCCCCGAAGATGTCGTGCCACACGTCAAGATCCAAACCTGGTCCTCAGAATGGTCCCCCAACAAACGTGAGCCAGACATGGGGGGAAGACGATCCCGACCAGGACGTGGGCGAGTCCACGGGAAGAGCCACCCCCGGGCCCCATCAGGATCCCAGAACACCCCTGCGCGATGTCGACGCCAAGCCCGTGGGAACTGGGGCCTCATGCGTCGAACGGGGGCGCGGGCAGGATTGGAGGGGGGCCCTGGACTCCTCGATGCTTCGCCAATGTGCTCCGGAAGCCATCGCGATCCCGAATGTCCACGTTTGCCAGACACTCCGAGTGGTAGTGGCAGTTGCACGCCCAACACGCTCGAGACCTGGCCTTCGAAGTCGAATGCGAAACCAATCTGCACTGATGGCAAGCACATTCGACATCTAGCAAGTTTAAGGCTACATGCGCATCGTCGCCCCCTGCAGTGGCGAGGGCACGTTTGGTTTCCACCGCGTCTCGAATCCTTATGACCTCCCTCTTTACTAGATTCCGACCCGCACCAGATGCCCGACACATGTGCGTACCTATGTCATTTATGAGGAAGGTGGTGCGCTCGTGTCGCACCCAGGCGAACAACCTGGCGTTCTCGGCGGCCTGGGCGGCCGCGGGCTTCTTCGGCTGGAACACCAGCAGGCCCTCGCGGCTCGCGGCAGCGGGGGTGGAAGGGGCGTCGGCAGCGGAGGAGACGACGAGAACGACGGGTAAGAGGCGAGGAGGAGGCGGGGGACTGGAGCGAGGGCGACGACGGAGCGAAACCCATCTGCCCTCATCCTCCTCCTCATCATCATTCTCTCCCTCCTCCCCGTCCTCCTCCTGAAACGGAATAACCTAAGCCTAGCCCACCCCCTCGCCATCCTCATTCCGACCTCTACATGTTACAGGCTACATATATGTGCGTACGCATGCGTTTCGGCCCCTCCTTCGGAGCTCTCTTGGGGGCCTCTTGGGGCCCATTTAAGCTCTTCGGAGCTCTCTTGGGAGCCTCTTGGGGCCCATTTAAGCTCTTCGGAGCTCTCTTGGGAGCCTCTTGGGGCCCATTTAAGCTCTTCGGAGCTCTCTTGGGAGCCTCTTGGGGCCCATTTGGGCTCTTATTGGGGCCCTCTTGGCGGCCTCTTGGGACCCTCTTGGGCCCTGGGAGCTCTCTTGAGCCTCTTGAGCCTCTGGCGGCCTCTTGGGGCCCTTGGGATGCTTTTGGAGCTCTCTTGAGCCTCTTGGGGCTCGGTTGGCCTTTTCTTGGAGCCCTGCGGTCGGAACCATTCCGAAAACAGAGAACAAAACCTCGAAGACTCGATGGCCCTGGGCCCCGAGCCTGGGAATCCACGCTCGTGACCCTGCCCTCGAAGCGGTCCACGTCGTCCCAAAATATGAAGTGGATGGCAGTCTCGATGACTGGGCCGTCGTCGGGGCCGCCAGCGTGGATCTCCACCATGGACGTGCACTTGTTCTGGCGCTTGTTATGGCAGGGGTCGGCGAAGACAACGGCCTCTATCATGCCAGAGACGCCATCGACCCACGACTGCACGTTGCCCCCGGGCCCCGACGGCATAGCCACAGCTGCAGGCGGCTCGCTCACGGGATCGGGGAGCACGCCCGCCTCCATCTGGAGGGCGTGCTGGAGAAAGGCCTCGGACGTGCACTTGGCGGGCTCGCAAGCGAGCCCAGGGTCGACAGTCTCCAGGTCCACCTTCGCGGCCTCCAGCCCAGTCTCTCTGTCCTTCTCGAATTTGGAGGCTATGTCGCGGACCCTCTCCTCCTCTGCCGCCTCCTCTGCTCTCATGGCTCGGAGGAACTCTGCCCCCCCAGCTCCCTTCAAATCGTCAATCTCCTCCGCCTCGCCATCATCCTCGAAGGCGCCCGCGAGCGCATCCACGAACTCGTCGACCGTCCCCCACACGTCGGAGTCGTCGCCCTCGCCTTCCCCCCCCTCGGGGTCGGGCTCGCCGGGGTCATCGTCGTGGCCCCCTGGAGCAGGCTTCGGCCTCTTAGCAGCACGGCCGCCGCTGCCCGGCTTGGGCTTGGGCACAGGCACGAAGCGCAGGTGCAACCAGGAGTCCGGGTCGCTGCAGTCAGACACGACTGCCGTGGACAACGTCGGCAGCGACCATCGCAGCGCCCGCTTCTCCACGACGACGTCGTCAATGCAGCCTTGATTTACCATGTCCAAATATCGCGAGAACATGTCCACGTTGTTCAGGAACTTGAACGGCCCATCCAGCTTGAATAGCAAAGCCACGTCGTCGCCGTCGTCGGCGTCGGCGGGCACGATGCGGCCCTGCGCGAACCAAAAGGCATTCCTGAACTGAAAACATGGCAAGAAGGCGGCCTCGTAAGATGCGCGGCCTTCATCTTCGCCGCGACGGACCGCCCTGAAGACGACGCACTCCTTCGCCGTCAGCGTGAACGCCCCGACCTTGGCTTTGAAAAGCATGGCGGCGGAAAGGGCCCTCGCAATGCTAAGCCTCTCAGCGTGCGTCTTCCCACCCCCGCCCTTTTGCCGCTTCTTCGGCATCCTCGGCTCAGCAGCGGGCGCGGGCATCGGAGGGGCTGGATCAGCCGCTGGCCCTGGCTCGCCGTCGCAGAGCGGCGCAGGGGGAGATTCCGCCTGGCCATCATCCCCCAGCGCCGCAAACGACGCGCCCCGCCTGCCAGGCCCCTCGCCAAGCACTGCAAACCGATGAGGTATATCAGCGACTGCAGCTTTGGCCTCCACATGGCTGGGAATGCACGCGTCCTGTATGAACCCCGCGACATCTCTGGGAGTGGAGGGTAGGATAGCGAGGCTCATCCGATTGACCAGTCTTGCTGATAACAAGGGAATGTCGATGGCCGGGGCGTGTTTCATGAGGGCCTTGAGCATCCCGTTCATCCCCTCCACCTCCTGGGTGTCGGCGGCAATTGTGCAGGCAACCCTCAGCAGCATCATGAATGCGCTGTCGCCGATGGTCCCAGTGGAATCAGACCTGTCAATATCATCAGGGAAGCATTTATAGATCTTGTATGGCAGACTACCCTCATCGGTCGCATTTTGTATCTCGGCAGCAACTCTCCGCCGATGATTGCAGTCGACACCAGGGGGGGCAAATACAAGCCATGTGATCTGAAGGGGCCAATCTAGAACTCGCAGGCCAAATCGAAAATGCCAATCGGTTGCGACCTGCAAAGTGCAAGAGACAGCGTCGGCCCGGGCGCCCTCCAACTCCGCGTCGCCTGAGCAGTGCTCCCAGAGAGGCCCCCATTTCGCATGATAAGTGTCGTTCAAGTCGCCAGTCAGAAGTTCGAGGAACTCATCGGATATCTCAGTGCAAACGCTGTAGACCAAGTCTTGGACAGTAGAGCGTTTCTGACATCTGATGCACTCGTCCGCGTCGAGCTTCGCCCTCTCCCCCCCTCTCTTCTCCAGCCAGAAAAAGAAATGCATGAGAGGCGCCCGGGACAAGTGGCTCAAGTACATGTCCCTCCAGAACTTCCTGCTGCACACCGCGGTCAGCGAGTCCTGGATCCACCTTTGTTGGGCCAGGCGCGGCAGGGGTGGCCCTCCCCCTCCCCGCCTCTCCAGGCCCCTCGGGGGAAGGGGCTGGGATTGTGACGCCACGACTGAGAAGGCAGAGGGGGGCAATCGTTGGGAGCAGGGGGGAGAAGGGGGCTGGAGCGCAGAGCGGAGGAAAGGAGATGAAAGGGGGAAGGGGAGAGAGGCGAGGGGAGGCGAGTGGAGCTGGGCAGCAGAGACGACCAACACACATGAAGCGATTCGCAACTCATCCGTTTCGTTCGGCCACCTCCCCAAACGCTCCGAGAAGGACTCCCCGCCCAAATCCTCGACGAGCAGCGTCTCCGCAGACTTCTCCTCCCCCCTGCCCTCGCCCTCCTCGGGGATGAAGACGTGCCTGTACGCCTTTGCTGTTTGCCCCGAGCTGCACCGAATGAAATGGTTCTCGCATTTGTGTATGCTCCCCCATCTCCCAGTGAGGGGTCTCGGAGGAAGCGAAGTGGCAACGTGCTGGGCTCGAGCGCTGGTTGTCAGATGAACCCATGCCTTGAACAGTTTCACCGCGTTCCCCGGCGACCTCCATGTGTTACTCACTTTGCACAGGGAACTGAAATACGAGCCGAATCTCTTAAGTTGTCTCTGCACAATCAGGTGCACCTGGTGCAGCATGCAGAAGCTAGCGATGAGCCAAGACCAACTATCCGACGCAAGCTTGTCGCGCAGGAGAGACAGCGCCCCCCTCTGGTCAGGGCCCGCGTCCGTGCCAAAACTGTAGACGACGATATGACGGGTCGGGGGGGCGGCAGGCTCACCGCCGCGGTCGCGGCGGAGGGCAGCACGAGCGCGTCGCCCCGGGCGCTCGTGAGCTGGTTGAGCCTCGCCCGCGGCGTCCTCGCCCAGGGGCGGAGAGGAGAGGGAGACTGCCGGGCGAGGTCGAAGAGTTGGAGGACAAGGAACGAGGAAGAGGAAACGACAAAGCAAGAGGAAGAGGAAGAGGAATAAGGATGAGAAGGATGAGGATACAAAGAGAAAGAGGAGGAGGAGGGGAGAGGGAGGAGCGGGAGAGAGTCTTAGAGTCTTAGACGCTTAGACGCCGACTACACGAATTGTGTTCGCGCGGCCCAAGCCAGCTAACTCGCTCAATCTTTTTCACTGGGCCGCCCGCTGGGCCCCGCGGCCGACGGCTCTAAGGCCTCGGGCCTAAGACTCTAAGACTCTTAGGCTCCAAATATGTTCGGACTCTTAGGCCGCCTTAGGCCCTAGGAGTCCGAACATATTTGGAGTCGCCAGCGCTGGGGAATCTGGGGATAGCGGGCACTCCTCCTCCTCCTCCTCCCCCCTCCTTCTCCCCACAGCGGCTGCCGCCGCGCGCTGGGATGTGCAGCCGCAAGCGTGCGCGCGGCTGCCCCAGAAAATACGCCACGCGGAGGTTGCTCTCGCGAGGAACGAAGAAGGAGGAGGAGGAGGAGGAGGAGGAGGAGGAGGAGGAGGAGAGGAGGAGGAGAGAAGGAGAAGGAGGAGGCGGAGGAGGAGGAGGGAGGAGGAGGAGAAGATGGAGCCAGACGAGTCACGACACGGCCCCAGGGCCCCGTCGGGCGGGCGGGGGCTCGGCGCCCACCCCAGGTCGGGCCCCGGGACCTCCGCGCTCGGACCGAATCGGGATAGTTGGATCGTTCCGCGATGCTTACGAGCCGAGGGGGTACGACGCTTGCTTCGCCACTCCCCCCACTCCGACTGAGGGCTCCTGTGCCGTCCACGTCGCCACTCCGAGGCTGCGGAACTGTTGGTCATAGAGCTTCAGGCACGTCACCCCGTCGAAGTGCGCGGGGATGAATGCCACGTCCGGGTAAGATTTCCTAATCACAACACCGCCAGGATGAGACATAATTGAAACAATGTCAGACGAGAACAACTTTCGACTTCGAAGAGCGGTCGAGTTCGTCCCGTCACCACGGCAAGCATGTATCTCGTAGCTAAGCTCTCCGTTCGCCTGGGGGGCACTGGGCGACATGATTCGGGGGCTGCGAAAGGGCTAGCCAGGGGGCAGGGGAGGGGGGGGGATGGCCCTAGGAGGAGGAGGAGGAGGGAGGATGCGAGGAGGCGAGGAAGTAAGGGAGGAGGGAGGAGGGCGAGCGAGGCGGGGGGGAAGAGACGGGCCAAGGAGGTGGACCAGGGGCCCATGGGGGCTCTAGCGCATGCTACATTGTGCCAACGCCGTTTAGCCTGCTGGGCGGCCCATCGAGCCAGTTCGGCGTAGGCATCAGCATACCAACGTCGAGTTTGAACGAGGAACGAGGCCTGCAGGAGTTTCTCGCATTCGGTCGCCGCCCACCTCTGCATCGGCTGATCGAGGATCTTCAAAGTGGCCATCGTTCCGCAATACCCAATCGAACATTTGATACCAAGCCTGTACATAGACGGAGTCGTCATGCAAAACCGAATCCTGTTTTCATCAACCTTGACATATTTCGTAAGCATGCGCTGATCCTTTAGATGTGCCTCGAGCTCGATCACCTTCTGTTTCAGGGCAAGTATCTCGATGTCTCGCCTCTCTCTCTTTCGTGTCTCCTGTTTGGCAACGTCTCTCCACTTCGAAACTAGGGATTCGAGTCGCTCTTCTCGGTTGGCGGGCACACGCGGCACGATCTGATCGTCCTGACACAGCGGCACCAGAGGGCCAGCAGCAGGGGCACCGGGCGGGCCATGACCTGGAGCTCCAGCTGGAACAACCTGGCCCGATGGCGGTCGTGGGCGCAGGCTGTCCGCGCAGGCTCGGTCCACCCGCATCCAACATTGATCGAGGGGATCGCCCGCGCCTGCATCCAAATCGCACAGGATCCGCACGAAATTCACGATGTCGCACACACCTGCAGCAAACTTAAGCACACTTGATTTGACCGCCCACCGCATCGACGTAGGGTTCAGCACATGGGCGGAACCGACGGCGAACAGAACGTTCGCAGCTGCTGCGCAAGTAACCTCCTGCCGAAGTAGCCCGCACAAACACCCGCTGGCGCTGGGGGCACGCAGCAGCTTGCATCGCGGTGCAAAGGCATCTTGCACGGCAGCCTCCATATGCAAATAATTCTGAATTCCTCTGAACCTGAAATGGCTATGAGATGGTGGATGGCGGTACTCGGTGGTAAAATACAATCGGGGCGTTGACCTAAGGAACCCTAAATAAGGAACGAGGCCCCTTTCCTCCATGAGTTAACCTTCGATTTCCTGTCGAAAACATAAGAAAAGCCTGAGGCAAGCTGTGAAACACTCATGGAAAAACGGCGCCCGTCCCCAACGAAAAGGGTTCCTTCTTCAAAGCCCCGACTGTATTGTACGATCGCAAGGCGTTATCGGCGACGGGCCAGCAATGGGTCCAGGGCCACAGGAACGGACCCGACAGCAAGAATACAGGGGGTAACCTAAGCAAAGTACGATTACTTCTTGGGGCCAGCCCAATATATAAAAGGATAGCCTGGGGATGACGAGATCGGGGGCACCATGCAAACAGTGCAAGCACGCAAGCACGGCGGCCTCCAAACCGCGCTTGCGCGACGCGTGCAATTCCGAACGCCTGCCACACTTCCGCGGGGCCCATAGAGAAACACGCTGTTTTTACAAACGTTTGCCCGCTGGCCGAGACCGAGATCGGAGAGCAGTGTCAGATCTGCAGCTCGGAAAACGGTATGTGCATACGTTGCTGCAGCTCGAAGAACTATATGCATGCGTGTTCGGCAGCTCGGGGCGCTACCCACGTAAATTATTACAATGCGAAATCCTCAATCGTTTACTGGTTCGGCCAACCGAACACACACAACATCTCATGTATCCCCCGACTGGAACAATACAACCACACGGGTTCCGTCGTGGCAAAACCATATGTGTTTACTGGCTCCCGCGGGTCGTACCCTACCAAAAATTAAAACTGGCACTGGTTTCTATCCACCGAAACGCACAAACATACAACTTTCTTCCGAACGAAACGCTGCAACATCACGGGTTTCACCTACCAAAACCGCATATCATTACCGATTCTGCCAAACGAAAACGCACATATCGAGGCAAACCGCAAACCCAAACAGGTTCATCCTCTTCAACGCCACATATTGTTTTGTGAGTAGCCCTCACAGACGCCCCCCGTGGTGACCGAGATTGCCCGCTGCGCCCCCCCCCCCGTGGGTTAGAGGGGCCCCTCCTCACCACATCCCCATCCATCGCAGTCTCGGCGTCAACTCGTCCGCCCCGCCGCATGATCTCCCTTCACCCCCTCATCTTCTCACACACTATTCGCCTCCTGGGCCCACTCTCTTCTGCCTCATCCCGCCCTCCCTGCTATCACCTCCCCAATATCCTCACATAGGGGCGATGGGATGGTGATGGGGCGGAGACGGATGTCGAGTGATAGAGTGGGCAGGGCGACGAGGAAGAGGAGGTTAGAGAGGACCAGGAGGATGGGAACGCGCAGCTACGCATTGACAACGTACGTCTGCTCCTCCTCGTCTTTGTTTCACCCCTCCTCGTCCTCCTCCAGCGTTCCTGTCGCGCGTTTGGCATAGGATGCAGGAGGACTGCGATGAGGAAAGACAGCGCCAACTCGATAGGACGGGGAGGAGGGTGATAGAGAGAGGGAAGATGAGGGGGAGAAGGAGAACTAGGCAGCACATAATGAGGCTGGCGAGTAAAGGTTCATCAGCTTCCCCACCGTCGGACATCCTCACCCCATTCCTCAAATCACTCCTGCTCCTCCTCCTCCTCCTCCTGCTCCCCCTATGCCTGTTTTATAAGAGGGTGGGGGGTGGGAGCGGTTGGGGAGGGAGGAGGAATCGGAAGGAGAGTGACCCTCAAACTCCTCGTCCGTCTCCTCCTCCTCGTCCACCTCCTCCTGGTCGGCATCCACCTCTGGCAACTCCTCTTTCTCCCTCTCCCCGCTCTTCGTCATCCTCCCTCTGTCTTCTCCCACCTTCCCCGTCCGCCAGAGGAGAGATATGAGTTGGATCCGGAGTGGTTGAAGGAGGGTGAGGTGAGGAGGGGGGCATGCTGATATGGAGGAGGATCGGAGACGGAGGAGGAGGAGGAGGAGGGGGAGGAGGCAGGGGGAACCCAAGACAAGCACCACATCAGAAAGGCAAGCCACATCAAAAACAGCAAACACAATCAAACACACCTGTCGCACATATTTGCATTTAGTCTAGAATCTCCCCACAACGTTGCTTTTCCTTGCGTTGCTTGAGTTGGTTGTTGCTGTTCCCCACATGTTTCGTGGGGTTCTGGTGTTCGTCCCATCCGCATCGCACCCGCGTCTTCCTCACACCTCCCTCATCCTTCCCTCTCCTCCTCTTCCGTTCACCCCCCACCCACGCGCAACGCATGCTCAGCACGTACATGAGACACGCGTCTACATGCAGCCGCACGCATGCACTCATTCGCAGAGACAAACACACGAACAACGCTCGTGAATTCCTGGCGCGTTCATTGCATCATACACCCGCGACGTATGCACCACATAGTGAGCACCCACATGAGACACACGTCCAAATACAGCCGCACACGCATCATACTCAGAGGCCAGCAACATATGTACACGTACGCGGTTAGCTTCCCCTGGAGGGCGTTTGAACGAGGACGTTCGTGCACTCAAGATCGCGGAGGGCGTACATGTACATATGTCGTTGCTCGCTCACATACACTTGACGCGCACATCACACACAACACATACGCGCACGATTCGCAGGGCATGGGAGGAACCCCACATCAGAAACAGACGCCTCGCCACCAGAAGGGGCGCGCAGGGAGCGGTCTCTCACTGCGGCCGAGATTCGCGCCTCTCGTCTAGGCACCGCAGGCGTGGCGCTTACCAGTCGCAAAAGAGGATGCGCAGGGGGTGGTCTCTCTCCGCGGCTGCTATGCGCGCCTCTCGCGCAGGGCATCGTAGGCGTGGCATGTTCTCGACACCAGAGGGGGTGCGCGGGGGGTGGTCTCTCACCGCGGCTGTTATGCGCGTTTCTCGTCCAGGGCATAGCAGGCGTGATACTTTCCCGTCACCAGAGGGAGTGCGCAGGGGGTGGTCTCCCAACGCGGCCGCTACGCACGCCTTCCGTCCACGGCATCGCAAGCGTGGCATTTTCTCGACACCAGAAGGGGGTCCGCAGGGGGTGGTCTCTCTCCGCGGCCGCTGCGCGCGCCTTTCGTCCAGGCACCGCAGGCGTTGCACTTTCTCGACGCCGTAATGGGGTACGCGAGGGGTGGTCTCCCACCGCGGACGCTACGTGCGCCTCTCGTCCAGGCACCGCAGGCGTGGCATTTTCTCGACATCA